TACCGGGCACATTAAACACAAAGACAAGCAAAATATGCTGCGTAGGAACGGGGGACCGAGTTTGTGCGAAAGAGTGAGAGGGTGGGTGAGGATGTACGGTGAAGAGGTACGGACACAGGTGAAGAGAGGGCAACGGTTCAGCGAGAGTGACATATAAGTTGAGCACAGTTGGCTACGTACGGTGTGAAAGAAGTTATACATACAGAAGTAATTGTTTTGTCTGAAAGCTGTCATTCAAAATACTTGAAAACCTTAACTGGAATATTTCTCGAGATGAATCCTCTGGTCTGGTGACACGGATGAGTTTGGTTGATGTTGCCAGCACACTTTGTGGGGGCAGTTCGGGGTGGTGGTGGTGGGGGCGGAGAGGAGGACGGGAGGGAGTCCTCCTCCTCACAGACACTCCTCTTCAATTAAAGGAGCATTGAGTTACTCTGACAGCAGTCAGGGTGGCCGAAGACTGCGTGATGTTTGGTTTTAGTCACATTTCTGTGCACTGGGAAAACGGGACCCGGCTCAGAAAGCCACTAACTGTGCCTGTCTGCCACACAACTGCCAATAACTTCCATGGCAATCTGCTGCTACAACTGCACATTCACTTCCATGGCAATCTGCTGCTACCGCCTTTCACTTCTATGGCAATCTGCTGCTACCGCCATTCACTTCCATGGCAATCTGCTGCTACCGCCATTCACTTCCATGGCAATCTGCTGCTACTGCCAATCACTTCCATGGCAATCTGCTGCTACCGCCAATCACTTCCATGGCAATCTGCTGCTACCGCCATTCACTTCCATGGCAATCTGCTGCTACCGCCATTCACTTCCATGGCAATCTGCTGCTACCGCCAATCACTTACGTGGCAATCTGTTGCTACTGCCATTCACTTCCATGGCAATCTGCTGCTACTGCCAATCACTTCCGTGACAATATGCTGCTACCGTGAATCACTTCCATGGCAATCTGCTGCTACCGCCATTCACTTCCATGGCAATCTGCTGCTACCGCCATTCACTTCCATGGCAATCTGCTGCTACCGCCATTCATTTTCATGGCAATCTGCTGCTACCGCCATTCACTTCCATGGCAATCTGCTGCTACCGCCATTCACTTCCATGGCAATATGCTGCTACCGCCATTCACTTCCATGGCAATCTGCTGCTACCGCCATTCACTTCCATGGCAATCTGCTGCTACTGCCAATCACTTCCATGGCAATCTGCTGCTACCGCCAATCACTTCCATGGCAATCTGCTGCTACCGCCATTCACATCCATGGCAATCTGCTGCTACCACCATTCACTTCCATGGCAATCTGCTGCTACCGCCATTCATTTCCATGGCAATCTGCTGCTACCGCCATTCACTTCCATGGCAATCTGCTGCTACCGCCATTCACATCCATGGCAATCTGCTGCTACCGCCATTCACTTACATGGCAATCTGCTGCTACCGCCAATCACTTTCATGGCAATCTGCTGCTACTGCCAATCACTTCCATGGCAATCTGCTGCTACCGCCATTCACTTCCATGGCAATCTGCTGCTACTGCCATTCACTTCCATGGCAATCTGCTACAACTGCCATTCACTTCCATGGCAATCTGCTGCTACCGCCAGTCACTTCCATGGCAATCTGCTACAACTGCCATTCACTTCCATGGCAATCTGCTGCTACCGCCAATCACTTCCGTGACAATCTGCTGCTACCGCCATTCACTTCCATAGCGATCTACTACGACCGCAATTCGATCTACTGCAACGAATCCTGCTCACGTTAATTGTGAACCTAATAAGGTGAAAATGATTCACTCTCTATACCTAGCATTTTATGCTTTCACAGAAATGTATTAAAACAGTCGCCATTCTCGCTTGCATGGAAATGTGCTGTGGATATCGCTGTTCACGTTAACTATAATTCACACTTTTTTCTCAGTCCATTGCTGGATGAAGGTCTCCCCCACGCCGTGGCTGCCACGAGGGTCCCTTGATCATACTTTATCACGCTGGTGGGATTGCGGGGCCCCGAGGTTGGGGGGAAGGTTGGGGAAGGGCCGGTTTAGATTTAATTCGCCACTGACGTTAGCCGTGGCCCGGTATCGAACTCCGATCTACTAGTTTCAAAGCGCAGTGCGCTCACCACTACGCCACCGCTCCACCCCTGAGTTGCTCTCGTATAAATATTTTCCAAGCGACCGTCTTTCCCTTTCACAGAAACACATGAAAGCAACTGCCATTTTCACTGTCGTAGAGCGCTGTCAAAGCGACCTGCTTAGTATTTTATTGTATCTTTCTGTTGCAATAACCTCAACCCCAGGGTTAAGGGCTCGGGTCATTGCAGTATAGAACATGCAAAGGAGTGCTATCGAGGTCACTTCATTGAAATAGGACGTACGGTGATGGCTTAAATAGAGCTCCATGAATGTGAATGCCTGTCGCGTTCATGGATCTTTGTGAAAGTGAGCGGCCGTCGCTGAAGACGCAAAGTTCGCAGTTTCGTGGATTTGATTTTTATTCTTTACGGCGACCACTTAAAGCCTTTCAGCTAACCCGGGGTACTGGTGCTTAAACGTAGCGATTACGCGCGCTGACTTATAACGCAGATTCGTATCCATTTGGCGTCAATGACAAAAATTATTTTGGATATAATTAATTTTGCCTAAAACAACTGCGACCGGTGATGGAATGGCAGCCAAAGGAGGGGATGTACACCAGAGGCCGTCCACCAGGGAGATTGAGCGATGAGATCGTTTTCACGTGCGGGAGGAGGATAGATCATGGAATCGTGGGGCCCCGAGGACTGGCGATGGCATGGGGAGGCTTTCATCCAGCAGTGGATGGATCATGGCAGTCGCTGATGATTATGATGAAAGTGAAAATAACTGACGGCAAAGATAATTTTCTAAATGTGGATTCATAGCCTTAAAAATGTTAGGTTTAAAGAAAATAACCCATAACACAGTCAAGAAACGAATTGTTAAAATTTTAGGATTCTGTTCAAATGTTTTAACAATTTAAAGAAATAGTCATCCTGAATAAAAACACTCCGAAGGTGGTATGTAAGCAGGCAATGACAGTATGTGTCCACATACCGAGCATTATATACATGCCCAGTACTATAGGGCTATATTTACTGTGGGTATAACGATTGTATTGATTCATCAATTTTGATCCATTATTAATGTTCGGTATATAAAAATCACATGTGAAAGAATACATTAATTTTGATGTATGCATATAAATAAATACAAATCTTACAAATTACTTTCAGAGTCATGAGGTGAACAAACACATACATACAAGACCAAAAAACCTCACGAACTATTCAATCAAGGTGACAAAATTGAGACAGAGGAAATGTAAATTCATGAATCAAATCACTAGTCCTGAATCATGAATCTCCGTAAGGGTGGATCGTTCACACCCCTAATATTTACCAAACCATATTTTAAAATGTCGTCGATGCATTGTGAGCAGATAAAAATACCTAGTTGAGTTTTTAAATTTGTATTTAATTATTCAGACTCTCCCTCCGGCCAGTAGTGGAAGTGTACTTGTCGCATTCTTCCCGAGCCGGTCCTGCGTGCACACACGCACACACACACAAAGACCCCACTTTTAGCCTTAACAGACTTTTGGGGCTAGTGCTTTTAGCGAGCACCTATGAAGGTCGACATGGCACATGAGGTGGCGAGCACCATGCTCGATCGCATTTGTTTGCAAAGTGACAATGTTTACACATTGCACCAGGTACTCATTTGAGGCCGAGTCGACATTGAGGATGCCCAGGACCGGTTGAGATAATCAGCACTGGTTGGCAATGAGCAGGAGTCGAATTCGGGTCGCAGGGTTCGTAGCGCAGTGCACTAATCGCTGCACCACCGCTCTCCTCGCATATGCACACACGCACATACGGGGATATTTTATTGGATTAAGACGGACACGCACAATGGCCGCTAAACGGCACAGCCTGCCAGCTGCTTCTTAAGAAGATGAAGCGAAGGGCTCGGCAGAAAGAGGGAATTAAAGACGATCGCCAGTCTCATTCAGGACTTAAGACCCAGCGGCAGAGATGCAAAAGTAACCAGGGATACTCGGCAGATCACCCAACTATGTTTAATGGCCCAAAGGGGAAGGGATGTGCAGAAAGAATGGCCCCCAAATAGGATCAGCGGTTCAAAAGTTTTGCACAAAACACTTGCGTTTATATATTCACTGTGATGCACGTATCCGCACACATCATTACTTAGCCCAGCGCTGGGTCGCACTAAAATTAAAAGTTGAAATGAAAAGGATCGGACATACTTTAAAGACGGCGAGGTTAGAGGATTTTTAACACTTTGCCGCATGATTTGCAGCCTTTCTGAAATATTGAACGCGTTTGCTTCGCCGATTTAAAATATTCACACGTCTCATGGTTTTAAAAATGTACGAGAAAATTACCCTGAATTTTTAATATACAATGTGTCCGTATTTAATGAAAAGTAGCTGTAAGAAGTTTAAAACATTTATGATTGTACTCTTACTGTTGGTGTCCAATGAGTCTCTTGTGTGTGTCGGCCCTGTTAAGAAAAAGTCGCGTCTGTATTGACACACACAGGGCTCTCTGAGGTTTTCAGATTTTAATATTTGCTTCAGCTTCCGCTGGGTTCTGTACTCTTTGTTTATTATTGTATCCTCGTTCGACACGGGACGATTCACCATTCCCAGAGATTCCATTGCTATGATTGTGTCTGTGATTCTATTGAAGCATCATTTATAATTTGTCCGTTACTGTTTATTTCCATTATTTCTTGTTTTTCGTCTGATTCATACAGTTTCATTGTCTCCACTAACCTCAACAAAGCATTTCGCAAATCGTTCATGCAACGTTACATGCCTCGTTCGCATGCAATCTGCATTCCCTGTGTTTGTGTATTTTTTTGTCATTGATCAGTTCGTGGCACGTTGAGGCAGGGTTGCGGCGAGTCTTAACGGTGCGCACCTTTGTCGTTCCTGCAGGTGCTGGCCTACACGGAGAGCCTTCACGGAAAGTGGCTCTTCAGCGAGGTGGAGGCCATCTTCTCACGACGCTACCTCCTGCAGAACACGGCGCTTGAGATCTTCCTCAGCAGTCGCAGTGCGTGGCCACGTCGCACCACCCAGAAGTCACCCGCTCTCACTCGCCCAACATTAACCGTCCGGCCGCCACCGCTCCCCCCCCCCCACCCATCGCTCCCTCTCTCTTCCCGTCCAGCCTCTTTACTGAAGGCCACGGGGTCCACCAACTTCTGGCAGCAGTCCTTTGCTTCCTGTTCTCAGCCCCTTTGCAGAGGCCCGCAGGGCTTGATGCGTTTTACGTCGTCTGTGCGCCTGGTCACGTGACTTTGCAGGCACAGTTAGAGATGGATGGGTGTGTGGAGAAACAGGTGGACATGATCATAATTATGCCGTTCACCTAGGAAAGCCTCAAAAACGTTACATTGCCTTGCCGCTCCACCATTCATGTGGTGTAGTGTGTCATTGGGGAAAGTTGCTGTTTGTTTTTTGTCGTTCATGTTGCTGTGGTTGTTGTTGTGGTCGATGTAGTTGATGTTAATGTCGTAATTGTTGTTTTGTAATGCTTTATGTTGTTTTTTCTATAGTTGTTGGATGTGGATGTTGTTGCCGCTGTGTTTTTGTCATCATCATTATAGCTGCTAACGCTGCGATTGTTGTTGTTGAAGTTGTTATTGTTGATGTGATTGATGTTGACGTTGCTGTGGTTGGCGATGTAGTTGGTGTGATTGTTGTTGATGATAACGATGTGTGTTGTTGTGCAGCATCGATCATGTTCAACCTCCCAGACGCGACGATCGTTAAGAGCGTCGTTCACCTGCTGCCACGCGTCGGCATCGGCACCCTCTACGGCCTACCACAGGCTCGGTACGGCCGCCCCTGCGGGGTTAGCGGACAGTGTTCTGATGCCAAGCTTAAACCATCACATGAACTCCGTTCATCCTCACAGCAGCTTTTGGCTAGCCATCGAACAAAGACGGTCACTGCATTGCGCACTTTCAGATATGCTTCTGCGGCCGTCTGGAACGCTCCTCCTTCCGATATTAAGAAGCCACTGGAGCTATGCACTTTAAAATCTATATTGAAAAGGCATTTCTTTTTCACTGCTTTTTGTTTAGTTTGTTGTCATTCCCCCCCACCTCCGATTAGCACGGTTGACTACGTACGGTTCTTCGAAGGAAGTTCAACATACATACAAGCTTTGACTTTAGTTTATGTAAATATTGATCTAACACATTCCCTCACTTGACGATTTATTTGGAAAATCTATTAAATTTGAACAGTATTTACAAAGGTCTTGTAGTAGACTACAAATTAAAACCACATCACAGCTCCTTTGCCAATCCACTGCTGAGATGAAGGCGTCACTGCTCTGTTGTCGGTGGTGTGATGGGGCACCCTCTGTCTTGGGTCAGGGTTGAGTGAGGAGAAACTGAACTTCCACTCAGTGATGAAGATGACTGAAAGATCGAGGGATTATGATTATGCTCATGATTGGATGATAACTTGATAATCCTGGTAACCAAATAACTATGCTAGAATTTGAATGTTGATGATAATTTGATGATTAAAAGATTATTCAAATATGTTGATAAGCGTAACCTTATGACAATGGGAGCTAAATAATGATGATTATGATAAAGTATTAACGATTATAATTGAATGGAGATGGTCATTCAATCATGACGATGACGGTGAAATGTCTGCTCCTGCTACGTGCGCTGCAAGGCGGTATTCGCTCGCCAGCCCCCGCCAGCTCTTCAAGGCCTCCAACATGACCCAGCGCTGGCAGCAACGGGACGTCTCCAACTTCGAGTACCTCATGTTCCTCAACACCATTGCCGGTGAGACCCCATTACCTGTCGAACCGTCCTGCCACTGTCACCCGCTCACCGTCCAACTCACAGTTGCCCTGAGCTGAGCAGGCGTCAACCCACCCCCCCCCACCTGCACCCCCAACCTGCCTCCCCTCCACCCCCCGCACCACACAACCGCCAGGTGCTCTGAATCAAGGTGCACGGGTTTGCCTTTCACCGTTTTTTCGTAGCTGTGCTGAACCTTTGCCTTGCACCTATTTGCCCTAGGTTTGCTTACCCGAGAAACCTCTGCAATATTCACGCGGCGGCGAGCCCAAAATGGACGCTCCCTGGCCCGGCGCCGATGTCCCGTTTGCAGGAGTGCACTGAAGCAGTGGCCGTAGATTGCGCTGAAAGTCACGAAGCCTGCCACTGGCGTGCTGGAATTTTTGTTTCATTCTCATGCATGTAAAGTGAAATATTGGAGGGCACGAGCTGTGTCTTGTGTGACCTTTGGGAGGAGGATGGTGAATGATGCTCGCACTAATTTTATTCAAATGGAATTTTAAATGCATTTGGCGGGCAACCGCACATTGACACACACATGTTATTACCATCATGGAATATGAATGCGCACAGTAATTAGGGCGCTCACCTTTACCACAGTAGCAGAAGTAATTGTGCAAGCTAAAATTTTAACAGTATTGACAATTTTTTTATGTCTCCCCTTCCCCCCCCCCAGTACACGACTAGTACGGCTAAGATGCTTGCAGTGACTGGTAAATTGTGTTTGCCAGCAGATCAATAGACATCACATTGACTGTTAATAGAGTAAGTAGGCTTTAGCAGGACACTTCAGTAGAAAGGATGGTGACGTGTGGTCGAGACTAAAGATGGGAGTGGCAGCCAAGGGAGGGAACACATCCAAGAGGATGTCCTCCACCTTGATCAGCTCGTGTGCAGCAGCTACAGAGATTGTTGCATCGCGTGACTTGTAGGGGATGGGGGGAGGGCTTTGGAAAGCTTTCATCTAGCACTGGCTAGATCATGACGAGTAATTATGTTTTGCGGATAACACAAGAAAGTGTGGGTTGTTGTCAGAGTGAAACATCTTCCAAGCAATTCTGTGCTGGAATAGAACAAAGCACTCAGAGGTGTCGGGGCAGCAGTATTTTTTGAACTGGTGCAGGCAGAAGGAATAAATAAATAAAAATCGGCTGACGAGTAGGTGTGTCCAAAGGTTCCACATTTATGTGCTGTTGGTTATCGCGCTGGAGCATTGGAGGGCAGCAATAATTCACAACGGGGGCAAGGATTGTTTAACGTCGCCCTGCATTAGCGTCGCCGCCTACGTACCTCACGCTCCCCTCTCTCTCTCTCTCTCTGGGCCTCCTCCCCCTTCCCCCCGCGCCCGCCCTTTCTCCCATCTTGCACCGATCCAGGCCGGACGTACAACGACCTCAACCAGTATCCGGTCTTTCCGTGGGTCATCGCGAACTACGACTCTGAGGAGCTTGACCTCACGCTGCCCAGCAACTTCCGGGACCTCTCCAAGGTGCCTCATCTCACACTGAGCGGCGCCGTTCGCCAGTCGCTCATTCCTGGAGTTTTCGTACGAAACGTTGACAGTGTTTTATGTTCATTTCCCAGTGGAAATTGAATTCACTTGTTTCGTGCGTGCGTGCATGCGTTGTGGTTTTTTGCACTATATGTTGTTAAGGGCTGATTCAGCTTTTGGGGAAAAAAAGTGACATGCGGTGATGTCTGCTTGGCTCAACTGTGGCGTGATAAACCTTTGGCCTCTCTTTTCCAACGTGCAGGAGACATTCGTCAAGTTAAGGCCAGAAACGCCAGAGCGAAATTAAAGGGGTTTTGGTGTCACAGTTGTCTTTGACTCTTTGGCCCCAATAATGTGTGAGCGTTCCTCCACAAGCTCTCTTGCTCTCTCTCCCTCCCTGTCTATCTATCGCAACACTAGGGAGGGAGTGCTTGTAGTTTAACTCAAACTGCATGGAATGAGTATAAAAAAATAGGTAATTTGCTTTTAATATAAGTTAAATTACACATTTGTATATTTTTTTTACATTTCCCCCACACACAATGTTCTATGCAGAGCCCCTGTGATGGGTCTTGGCGGTGTTGGTCTAGCGAAATCGACACTGCGATTGTTGTAGGTAAAAAAAAAAAAGAAAAACATCACTTTGATAGAACTAAAATATATTAATGCTTTTCCTTGTTTCCGCATAAAGTGTTTTACAACTGGGTCCAAAAGAGAACGAAATCTAGGCTGACAAAGAAAAATACGTTAACGTTTCCGCTGCGAGGCCTTCGTCACGACTTCAAGGCCTGCCGACGGCGGGCGTGAGGGCCCGTCTGCCAGGTTAAGTTGCAAGAAAAAAACTTTTATTTTCCTTTCTCAGGGCAATTCTCGCCTGTTTATTTTCTATTACAGCCGTACAAGGGCATTAATTTGACATTGAGTGAAAAAAGATGCACGTTCAAATTTATTTCGCTGGACATTCATGGGCTCAAGAAGGCGGTGTCCCTCCCCCCACAACGGCGACTTTCGCACAGACATCTGTCCAGTGCGGAAGAGTAGGCAAAATATCTTGGAGAAGGGATTTCTAGAGCTCTGTCTAGTCAGGGTCCTTTCCTCATCAGTCTAAACTATAAACTACTATTTTTGTTATTTTACCAGGTAAGGCCCACTGAACTATATAGCTCTTTTTCAGTAGCGACCTGGCCACAAATGATAGCTCACCGAAGTGGCTCATCACGTTGAAATGTATTGCAGCCAAATACTCTGAGTGGCGTGAGCAGGCAGTTGTAAGGCTGCACCTTTACCTTTCACCTGAGGTTAAACCACAAAACTCGTGTCGCGAAGTCACTTTCTCAAGTCAAGAGGCATGCAGCCTTTATTCAATCGAGGAGTGCCGTCTCATGTCAGGGGGGGAGAGAGGCATATTGAACAGGCAGAGGCAACGATTCATCGATCCAAAACCGATTCTCACACAAGCATCGAATGCATTGTCCCCGCAGCCCGTGGGAGCCCTGAACCCGCAGCGCGCTGCCGTGTTCGCCGAGCGCTACGCGTCGTGGGACGACGCAGACATCCCGGCCTTCCACTACGGCACGCACTACTCCACCGCCGCCTTCGTGCTCATGTGGCTCCTCCGCGTGGTACGCCGAGAGCCGCTCGCCCGGTCGCCCGCCCGCCCGCCCGCCCGCTCGCTCCGAACACAAACCTTTACTCAGCGTTTGCCGCGGTCGCTCCATTGATTTTGTGTGGCTTTGAAAAGAAAAGCACCGTCACGAGTTTTATAGCTGTATCTTAAGCAAAGCTATTGATTGTCTGTTGGGGTTGTCCGATGGATTTCGTTTGTACCTCCTGCAAAAGCCCGTGTTGGCCTTGTCCTGGTTATCGGGCAAGCAGGCCCTCCAACTGCACCGTGGGTCAGAGGGGCCCTGGCGGTGGGCTCCAAAATGGAGGGAAATTACCCAGGCCATGCCCACCACACCACTATGTTTTGGGCAGTGTCCAGTGGTGTATACGGTGAATTCCACTTCACCGAAATCTCAATTGTGCGACTCTATTTATGGAAGAGGTAGGATCACCTCCCGTGCGCAGTTCTAAGATGGTTATGTGCAGACCACTTAACCGGGTGAAGCAACGTCCATTCCTTCAATGAGTGCCGTAGCCATCTCACTCCACCTAAGCTGCTACACAAACGATTCGCTGCCTTTATTTGTTTATTTTACTCGCCCTTTTGGATGTACGACTTAATTAAAATAATCTAAAGATTGTAATAGGTTATTGATTCTCCTGGCTTAATTACAAAATTAAGATGTTTCAGGCTGTATTTTCTCTTCGATTTGGAAACGAAGCTAATTTAATACCAGGTGATGGGATGCTGCCCAGGTGCAATGGGTTAACACACTGGACTTGCAATGCAAAGGTCGCCGGTTTCATCCCCCCCCCACCGTGGCAGTTGAAACAGTGGAGCAAGTTTCTTAAATCCCCGCGGCTCTGTCCACCCAGCAGTACAAATGTGCAGCACCACAGCGAGTCGATCGGCAGGTGACGTATTTTGGGATAAAGTGTGGGTCTTCTCGCTTCGCCCGATACGTCTGACGGGCATGGAAGACTCGACCAAAATAGACTCGAAGGGTTCTGTCGTGGCATGAGCAAGCAATTGCAGGGACTGCACCTTTACCTTAAATCGAAAGCAGTCCACTGAGCGGGTCATGGGGGTTATTTGACCATACTTCACTATGCTGGTTCGTGTGGGTTGGGGAACGTATATTTTTTTTAGCATAGATATATAACGTGTTGAGAGGTCAAAAACAAGCATATACACAATGTCTAAATACTTAAACATTTAGCCGAAAATATTACACTCGAATGAGTCCATTCGTTACAACAAAGCCATTTAAAAGCAATAATCTTGGACAGAGATAGAAGATGGCCTCTGTTCTAAAAATGCCCAATGTTGTCATTACTCCCACTAGCATTCAAAGACAAAGGGAAGTTTAATTATGGGAACTCCAGAACTGGTCCTGGGAGGTCGTTTGTGCTGTGGCTGCTGCCCATGTGACCCGAGTCGTGCCTGTTTGCTGCCCCCACAGGAACCGTTCACCAACTACTTCCTGAGCCTGCAGGGTGGAAAGTTCGACCACGCCGACCGCACCTTCTCCTCCGTCGCGCGTGCCTGGCGCAACAGCCAGCGCGACACCAGCGACGTGAAGGTAAGTGCAGTGTCGTCGCCGTGGGGAAGGAGGGAGGGATCTTGTGCGATCTCATCGATAGCTGAAACACATGCAAGCTCTTCAGAATATTATGTTTTATTGTTCACGAGGGGCTACTTTGTTGCGAAGGTAAGTTGTTTTGGATAGGACACGTTGCTGGAATGGATGATGGTCAGTGGTCGCAACTGATAATTGATTGGCAACCAAGGGGATGGATGCACGAGAGTAGATGTACACCGTGGACCATGGAGCGATGAAATCAGTTTGTCTATACCAGGTATCAGATGGCTTGTTGCATAGTAGGACCGGACGAGATGGCGGTAGCTTGGAAGACACTCTGTTCTATCGGAGCATTATTTGACTCCACACTGGTGCTGTATCTGTGGAAATATTGTGTCTGTCAGTCCTTCCGAGAAAACTTCATTCGCATGTGTTCACGAAAGCTAAGAAATAAACGCTAAATAACTGAAACAACACCTACCACACATGTTACAAAAACCACGGCCCAGATCTGTATAGTTTCTTGGCAACATGGGCAATGATATGCTTTGGAAATAGTTTTCGTTTAACAAAAATATATTATTCTGTGTACCAGTAAGATGAGCGCAAATGCTTTATAAGGCTAGCCCATGGGCATAAGCTTGCCAGCACTGCTTGTTTTCATGCACACATTTCTGAAATAGTCAAGTCGCCTAAAAAAACTGGAAGCTCCCTTAACATTCTGGTTTCCTAGCTTGTTAATGTGGTTTTATTCAATAGACTGCACAGCTTAGGTCTCAGTGACTCAAGTGCAGTCTGGCTTGTAGTGATAATGCTGTGTTGAGAGCTGTCATGTGTTCAAAGGAATGTGCTGTGTGCATTAAACTATAACATTTTATATATTTAAACCCCTTTGTCGATCCACTGCTGGATTTAAGCCTTCCAACAGTGTATCAATCGTGGTGGGTTGTTTGATCGTATTTTACCACACCGGTGATTGCGGGTTGGTAAAGGTGCTACCCAGGATCGGTTCACTTAGTACTTGCCACTGACGATATCACGAGCCACTGGTGTTAGGCATGGCCAGGAATCAAACCTAGCATACTGTGTTCAACACGCAGTTTGTTGAAATTATGTTATCACTACCCCCCGGCCCCCGAGATTGTATATAAGCAGGACACGTTTCTGGAGAATATATACCAGATTCCGAATGTTGTCCATTGCTGTGGAAGTTACTCTAATATTGAGTGAGGCATTGATTAATGTTTGTAAAAGTTTGCATTAAAACGAAGCATGCAAAACAGCTGCTGGCCTATTGTGGGCTTTCTGATGACTGCAAAGCTGTCTCGGGAATAATTCATGAACAACCTGTTTGTCATTAATCTGCTTAATTGGTTATTCCCTCTTGGACAGGTTAATGTAGTGTGCAAATTATTTTGTGCATTCTATTCTAAAAAGGCTCTCTAGGCCTCATTGAAGTTATTGTTATTAAAGAGGCATGACTTGGCCCATTAATCAAATAAAATTGATGACAATTGGAAAGAGTAACTTGGCCGTGCTATTTGAAGAATCTCTGGAAATTAGTTTTACTGTGGTCAATATTTTCCTTTTAAGTACCGTGGCTGAGGTCGGCAAAGTGGACAATTCTTCTTAGAGCACATCGCTGTGCTGGACGATCAACTTGTAACAACTACACACTGCCAACAGTGTGGTTTTTTTCTGGGGTTACCACCTGTCCTCTCTTTGAGTTAGCCCTCCTGTGGAATCTCTAAGTCTTTCTGAGACATTAACAGTTCTAGTTTTTTTGTCAATTGTATCAAAGTACACCATCCAAGATAATGCATTGATGTGAAGTTCTCCCCTCTTGAGGTTGGTGCGAGATATTATTCCTACGACGTGCCCCAGTTTTTTTTTTTGTATCTCAGTGGTGGCAACCTTCACGTTTTGCCCTGTCGTGTAGATATCCCAAAGAAATCTCGAGAGCACAGGTCGCCGCGTGGAGGTGTGCGCGTGCGCCCTTCGTGGGTCGTCTGCGATGAGGGGGTGTCGCGTTTGGCCATGCGTGAAAGCAGTCGTCCCATTAGCCACCCCCCACCCCACCACCCGAGCCACGAGGGCCCTGCCCTCGAGCCCCACGGTCCGGCATAGCGAGGCCACCGCAGACAAATTAACAGCGCTGCCAGCATTAGGCCGAGTTACCTCCATTAGCAGCCACAGACGCGTTTGATTGGCGTTGCGTCGAAGCCACAGGCAGCCTCTGGCCACCAGGGTCACTGCAGCAACCTTCAGCTGAGCGCCCCCCTGGAATTCACGGCTGGGTAAGGTCGTCGGGGTGATGTCACGAGGTGTTAGCCCATTGCTTGACTGATGCACCCGAATGGAATATTGAGTTCCACCGGACTTCTTTGAAAACAGTTACTTCTATTGCTGTGGCTTCAACAACTAGTCAGTATTTCAAATCTGGAGTAAAAAAAAAAACACACAATATGCATTGATTAAAAATGCGTGAAGCTGGCAATGCAGTGCACATGCGTTATTGGCCATTAGGCTGGCAGCGGCCTCGTAAAGTCTTTACAGGGCTTTCTGTGTTAAGTAAGCACGCTTTGAACACCAGATGGGCGTCACGACAGTTAAGTTACTTTGACGTGTGTGGGTTTACGGTGCCGGCGAATTTGCCGAGGCCGTGGAGGGGCGAGCAGTCTGGGATCCCCGGAGCTGCCGCCAAGGGTCCGCTCTGGCCCGGTCACATCTGCACGTGACGGATGCTGGGATGAAGCAGAAGAAGAAGGTTTAGGGGGGGGGGAAAGGAGCACGTAATTATCCACCGATATGTCGGCTAGCAGACCTCTCTCGGGGGCTTGTTATGTTAGCATGTAATTTGGAGAAATTCCTTGACATCTTTGGGGCGCAGTGCACGTCACATTAGCCATAATTGACTGTGACAGCGTTCTTTGCCCCTGGCAGCCGACCGTGAGCACTGTCATAAGAAAGGGCTCGGTCGCTCGTTTGTTTGTTTGTCTCGGGCTGCCGTCCGCTTGCAGGAGCCTCTGCCTGTTTTCATGCACTCTAGCGGTGGGTAGTGTGGTTTGTCGTGAAGTGTCGCATTGTTTGCCCAAGAGCTGTGGCTGCGTGACGCTTTGTCCACGGGCCTCGTGCGTGTGGTCAACAGCGTTGTTCGAACCTGGCCAAGGCAAACGCCTGCGACTCAGATCCAGTGTTTATTTACTCTGACGCCCTCCCTTCCCCTGAGCTGTATCTAAAGCCAGCAAGTGATGCCGGTAAAACAGACAATTCAGCTTCAATTCCAAGCTGAATTTTCCGTCTAGCTCCTTAATTTTTTTTCTTCACTGTTTTTCTTTCGCTGCACTAACCGGAACAAATTAGTTGTTTTCTCTTGTCCATTTTCTCAGTTGCGTGGGATATTGAGGTATTTAATATTTATTTTTTAAAAACCTCAGACAGCCGTTTGAAAAAAAAAACCTCGTTCGCCCACGAGGCCCCCCCCACCCACCTTCGGCCCGCGTGCCGTCCTCACGTCCGCCTGCAGACACCGCTCACTGAAGCCTGGGGGCCCTGGGGCCCATCTGGAGCTCACTGGCCTCAACGCAATCGCCAGACCATTCCAAAAATAATCTCACACATCACACCCCTATACACTCCAGCTTCGGGATTTTTTTGGCTCTCGGTTTGATTGCAGTTATGCGTGCACGCCTTTTAATTGACTGTTTAAATGTTGTAACATTAAAAAAAAACGTAATTAACAAGTCCAAGCTGCACATCGTGTAAAATCGAGACGTGTAAAGTTTTTTTCACGTGTATTCCGTGGACCTTTGGCACCGCTTACAATATAATGGCATTCATTCTGCAGTACAGTATGTGTGTTCTATTGATAACATTGTTTCAGCCAAAAGTGCATGACTTCAGCTGATAATAATTTCATGTCAATCGAGGAATAAATGAAAATTACATATTACATGTTTTTTGTTTTCGAATTATCAGTAATATATTTAGAGGTGGCCAACCGGTGAGGTTGTCGAAAGTAAGGCGAACCTATCCCTCCTCGTCAAACAAGCCTGACTCTGCTGATGAGACCCAGGGGTGCTGCAGTGGCGAGATTTTGACTGCAGGAGGTCGTGGGTTCGATTCCGACCCCGATGACCGTATATTTGGACTTTGTATGTTCTCCCCGTGGTCGTGTGGATTTTTCTCCGGGTCCTCCGGTTTTTCCATCCACATTTAGAAACATGAGTTTTAGAGTATTTGCCTGCTATAAATTTCCACATAAGCCACTTAGTAGAACTAGCATTTTTGGGCAGGTCCCTTCTGAAAAAGAGCTTTGTAGCTCAGTGGGCCTTACCTAGTAAAATTTAAAGTTTCATTTAGGTCAAAGCCAGTCCAGAGGTGTATTGCTTAAATAAATACCACTTTATATAATTGGTCTGGAAAGCCAAGGGCTGATGGAATAAAACATATTCTTTTTAAGTGGAAAGAGAACCTTATTTGGCAATGCAGAGCTCTGCTTATTTACACTCTTAGCCGTGTCACCTCGTTCACCGCTGCTCTAGCATTTCACTATTTCTTATTTATCAACCCCTCGTCACTGTCAGAATCTGAAAAGCTATTTACAAAGATCAACCGTCTTGAAAGTTCGAGGGACTTGTTGTTGCGTTGCACGATGGGTAAATTCCCATCCACCTCGCCGCCTCCACTTCCATGACATCTCTCCGCTTGGCAAAGCGTCGGCTCAAACTCTCTGGGTGAATTCCACGGCGAGAAACATCCCCTACAGGCACCTGTGGAGCCTCGCCGCACGACCGTAATGCAGCCCGCGCCATGCTCGTCCGGGGTGTTTCTCCTTCATCGTTATCCCTCTGCTCCCCCCGTGCTCTTTTCCCTTCTCGCTGCAGGAGCTCATCCCTGAGTTCTTCTACCTGCCAGAGATGTTCACCAACAGCAACGACTACAACCTGGGGGTGACAGACGCCGGCGTGGCGGTGGGCGACGTCGTGCTCCCGCCCTGGGCCAAGACGGGCGAGGAGTTCGTCCGCATCAATCGCGCGGTGAGACTTGGCCCTGGCTCGACTCGGCCTGGCTCGGCCCGGCTCGGCGTGGAGGATGGGGGCAGGACGGTCACAGGGGAGAACCTCGATTCACATCTGCGATGGGTTAACCCCGAGCGGAGGCCCACAGAGAGAGGCCTTGTTGGGGGCAGCCCCCACCCAGCCTCCCACCCCCGAGGCCTGGCCGTTTGACAGTCCCTCATCGCCCGCACGTCCACCGCTGGTAGGGCCGCCGGGCCTCCATCGGGAGGTTGGAGATGTGGATGCGCGTAGACGTGTGTTTCGAGGGCCTTGTGGTGATCGTGAATGTTCACCAGAGGCCACTTTATTTCATTATTTTTCAGTAGACACCTTGTCTGTTGGTTTGTTCAGGTTTTCAACTTTTCATCAATTGAAAATGTAGACTGTGGTTGAAGTTTTTGGCACAGCTTTGTTTCTGTCTGTTGAAGCGTGGCTAAACTCGAGCCATCTCGCTTGATTACTTCGCGCTTGAATGTCGGTGCGTGTTGTGGTGAGCAGAGAACAACGCATGATTTCACTCCCGCCTTCAGTGGCGTGCTGCACTGATGGCTGGAGACTTCCCTGACCAGACATGAGCAGCAAAAACATCAACCACGTGTCTTCCAGCCATGCCAAACTCTCTGCAATCTCGTTACCTCCTGTCTGCCGGTGCTGATGTTATGTAAAAGCAAAGTTCAGCACTGGTTTTCACTCCTAAAAGCTCAAGATTTGATTTGTGATCATGAGGAACAATTAACATTTTCACCTGGAAATGTTCAAAATCCGGGTGAATGTCGAGGTATTCTATAGTCTCTTTGTTTTTTTCGGTAAAGTCACGTATAAATAAGAAATAATAAAATAACATAATAGCGTACGCGTTACTGCAGGAGTAATTCCTGCAGTAACGAAAGCTTCGAATCAAGTCTATTCTATAGTCATTCCAGCTTTGTGATTTGGCTTTTTGTAACAGAATTAAAGCACAACCTCAAAGTGTATCGTTGCCATGTCAAGCTCAACACAGTGCACTGCAGTAGTGTAATAGCCATGCAAGTGAATTGTTTATTGACATTTTTCCTCCTGTGACAAAAAAATGAGACAGCCGCAGGACACCAGTGAGGCAACCAATGGACAAATCATGTGGAAGCGTTTGTGATCACGTGATGCTAATAAACCAATGAAAACCACCACCATGAAGGTGTTCTCGCATGTAACGCTGCCTTAAAAGGAAACGTGTAATCGGTGACGTTTCGGGCAGTCGGCCTATCCTTCGTAGCACATCTCGCGTGACACATTTCTTTGCACGTTCGTCTCACCGCGCTTGATTTGCTAAGAAGCCCCATGTGATGACAAACGCCCGCGCGTGATTGGTTGCCTTTCTTCTTTATGCTAGTGCCAGTCTCTTGTGGTTTGGACCCACGACGAGGGCGATGAGATGTTAATGCCGTGCGCTGAAACACGTGAGTGGCAGGTGGCCCGCGGTATTTAATACCGCTAAAAACCATTTTGGCATTTACTGCCGCGTGGGACGTGCGTATTGGGTTTAAAAACCGGCAGCCCCGTTTCATTTGAGCTGGTTCAAAGACGACTGCGCTGCTGCTGCTGCGTCGCACTCGATTTCACGTGGGCTCCGCGGTGACCCACGCCTCCAGTTTGTGCAGCCAGCGGCAAACCCCACGGCGCCTCTTGCAGTTTGCAGCGCAAAAATTGGCGCGGAGATTGGTAACTGACAAATGCAAAGCGGAGACATTGTATAATGGTCAACTGTCAGTTATCTGGGGTATTCGTGGGGGAACGTGTTACCGATGTTAAACAAGAACACGAATAATCCAAACATGTAAATTATACTAAAAACTTGTATGCATACTAATTGGCGGTGAAGAAATGTGTTCTCCATTTTATTGTGATCACATGGGCACAGAGTTAGGGTGAGAAGCAGCTAATAATTAAACTAGTTTGTGAGTAAATATATTTTATGTGTTGTTGCACAAGCACGGTTAATCCCCAACCCCGATAAACCGCCCACAGATAATCTAGAGTTGGCTATTGCACAACAGTGGCAGTCTTCCCATCGTTTGTTTGACGTTTTTGGCACGGCTTTATTGTTGTCCGCTGAGGCATAGCTAAACTTGAGCCACTGCACTCGACTTCAGCGCGCTCGGACACGTGGTGCATGTTGTGGTGCGCAAAGAACAACGCGTGTTTTCCCGTGCGTCTTCAGTGTCTGGCTGGTGAAGACGCCGCCAATGAAGCCACCGCCATCGCATTTAAATATTTCAATTTAAATCACCTACGCGCGTTCCCCGAGGTTTGAAACGCAAGTCTTGAGTCCGTAGCCCCCTCAATCTAGAGCCGCGAGCTGGCTCCGCTTGGCTTTACAAATCACCGCCGGCGCGCTGCCGTCCCCTGCGTCGGTCCGAGCTCACGGAGGCCGCGCGCCGGCGCCGCCGGTCCCTTCCGCAGGCACTCGAGAGCGAGATCGTGTCATGCCAGCTGCACCAGTGGGTTGACCTGATCTTTGGCTACAAGCAGCGAGGGCCGGAGGCCATTCGCGCCATGAACGTCTACTACTACCTCACCTACGAGGGCGCCGTCAACATGGCCTCCATCCGCGACCGCGTGACGCGTGAGGTATGACGTGGCGTGGCGCGTGGCGTGGCCTGACGTGGCGTGGCGCGTGGCGTGGCATGGCAGTGATTACGTGGGCTACGCCATCACGCATCAAAAGAGTACCGCTGGTCAATTTGCGAATCAGCGAAGTTTGGGTCAGTGCTTTGCGTAGAGGGCAGTCAAGAGGCCAGACATACACATGCTTCTCAATGTTTAATTTTAAATTGCAATTGCATTGAAATTCCTTTGAGCTACGTCCATGAATAATATCCATTTATATTATTCTTACTACGTCCAAATTGATCTGTGCAAACCCTCTTGATCCATGCATCAACTAATCCTGTTATCTGATCATTTACCAAGATAAGGGAAGAAGCTTATCCACATGTATCTATTGATAAGGAGTCGTCCAGAAGTGGTGTCCCAAAATGGCTCAATTATTACTATCAGTACTTCTCTGCAGATGAGGAGCCACCTGAAATTGATCCCCCGAAAGCACTGAATGCATTGTTGGAGATGTTTGTACGCAGAAGTGGCTGCAATTTCATTACATCATCTGTGCTTTATGTGTGCAGATAAACACAGGTAATCGGATTCGCCCTCTGTGCCTCCCCCCCCCAGGGAATCAGATAATGGGGAGTTCCACTGTACTCCCTAATAACGTGCAGTCGTCAAATATCAAATAAGAGGGCGCAAAAGTTGGGAAATGAGGGATTCGCCGCCGGTCCTCGTCTCGGTGCTGTCGTTTGAGTTTCCCAACGTGAAGATACGGATTTTGCTTTCGAATGCAGACGTAATTCTCAGGACACAATTCCTAAGCGTCACGGCTGTGACCGATGCAAACGCTGTCTTCGTCTCGTCTCGCGATGGTGCCAAACTCTGATTTGTTTATATGCACATGCACCCCTTGCTTAGTGAAAGACGAACAGGTTTTCTCAATCATCGTCCCGTCTCGAGCATTGTCAGTGGCCGATGCGTTGCCAAATGAACGGAAAAAAACCCACACAATTTGTTTACTTAATTAAGACTAGCAAATAGAATATTACTAGGGACCCTGTGAAAAGCCGTACTACATCGTTTGCGAAGTAACTCGAAGTAACTGAATTCATGCCCCCCCCCCCTCCCGCACGCAGTGCTTCTCATGCAAATTATCGCGTGCGCCCGCGCGTAACTCCATCTCGACAGAAAGTCGCTTCATAAAAGGCGGGCTTTTTTTCATCATTGAGTTTAATGTAAACGGAAATTTGTGGGGGAATTTTTTTTGAGGTTAAGTTAATTGGTGTCAAACCGTGTTTATTGATTCTGCAGGCAATACGAATTAGAACTGGCTAGCCTTCAAATCCCAAACCCCTGCATCCTGTGTTTGCACAAAACTACTTATTTAATATTACAGCTGGTATTTAATACTGCCTGCGCTGCTGCGATCCAACATCGCATCGTTGCGCCATGTGTTTCGTTTATTTACTTTCATCGCCATGTGAGAGACGTTGATGCGTAACTCTTGTCTTCCATCCACGTCCGTTTTCATCCAAGTTTATCTCCGCTCAAGCGAGCAACGCTTGGCTCTCTCTTCGATAGGTGGCCCCAAGCCAGTGCTGTATATTCCACGTTCCTGTGGCCGGGGCCATCACCACCATAGGACAACAAGCAGTGTATTTGTTTTATTCGTCCTGAAGGGATAATGAGCTTGTGAGCCAGGCATTTTAAGCAGCGGGTGAGTGTGTCTAGCGTGGGTCTTGGTGCAAGGAATGAAATAGGGCCCTGCTTCTGTTCAATTCCCCCCCCGATTAGTAACCAGGAACTTGGACCCCGGTGGGCCCCGGTGCAGTTGCACCACCTGTGTACTTGATAGTTACACCATTGACTCTTAAGCACAGTGCCGCCCAGAAAAATTTAGGACAAATGGAGGCCCTCAAAATGCAGGTTTCACTCCTCCCATTGTCTCGGATGCAAAATATCTTCATGGAGTCAATGACTTGATTTGCTGAGATTCTGAGCACATGGTAATGCATTTCGTAGCATACACAAATGCCCCCAAGTATGACTTCACAATTCTCATAAATGCAGGATTTTATCTGTAATTTTTCACCTCACTGGGTATTGAAGTCCCGCATCGTAATGTATGCGTGCAGGCTCCGTAGTTTGTCAGCGTAATAAAGCGGTGCCCTACAAGTTTTGACGTATTTTAAATTAGCACATTCATTATGTGTTCGTTTGTCAATATTTTCTCTCCCACTTTAGATTACCAAGTATAAAACACCGTGAGTGCTTCTGTTGTTTATTCATTACACCGCTGCCATCAAGAAGCCCCCTGGTGAAAATTGGTTTCTCATGGTTAAAAATTAAGGTTGGATTCGATTTAGTTTTTGATAGGCTATATATTTACAGAAGTGAAGTATTCATAAATTTGCTTCCCAACCAATATTGTAGCAAGTGAGAGAAGGAACACGGCCGTTGTTGAATATGCGCAGCTGCCTAAATCATCTATACATTTTACCGCAACATTTACAGGCACACCGCGGTGGTTGGATGGGTCAGAGGTGTTTCTATAAAGTTAGACTGAAGCTAGATCTATTCAATACCACTGCCCTATCTGTTTTATAGAACATTTTTGCTTTAAAGTGCCAGATTAAGCTACAACCCGACACACAAAATCCTCCGCTTGAGAATACTATCATCCCACACACTTCGTGGGTTTTCATCAGCCAGCTTAACATCCTCCCATGGCGGACCGGCGCACTGGTAGCTGTGCCGTCTCCCGAACCCAACCGGAGCCTCCGCGGCCGCTGTCGAGATGAAACGGAACTCTGTAATTGGGTCATGGCGAAACTAAAATGGGTTTGTGCACCGCGGAGTGACCGTGGCAATAAAAGGTAATGAATGGCTCTCACGGAGCCCCCGGGAAAGGACACGGCGGCGAGGTCCGGACATTAGGGGGCAGAGTTTGCGGAGCGGAAGAGTGAGCGCGTATCTCGCGGTCGTTACGTGAAGGGGAAGGCTGACAGGGAGCGGCCCGGGCGGCAGTAAATAAAGGGCATTTTTTTTTTATTCTGCAGAGAGTGGCGACGTAACCCCCTCGCCCCGGTTTTATATTCTGATGGAAATTCCACCGTCGCCTCCGAGACGCCGTAGGGAGCGGGCAGCGCTTGACGTCCTGGCGTGGCGGTGCAGGGTGTTCGCGACTGTGCCCCCCCCCCCCCGCCCTCCCTCACCCCTCCCCCCCGTGCGGTCCCCGCACGATGCTGAACCGCAGCAGGGCCCACGCCGACGAGCCAATTAAGGCTGCGGGGAAAGGCGTTTCCCGAACTCGCTGCGGAGACGTCCGACACCCTTCCTTCGTTTTTTACGCTTAAATGGTTCCGCGGCAGCGTGCCGAATGCCAGCTGTCAGCGCGTGGCCCTAAGGCGGTTCACGAGGGCCCTCTCGCATATTAGAATAACAATATGTTTAAATATACTGTACTGTACAGACCAGAGGAAGGGGAAATAATTTTGAGCTGCATTGTTCATATTTTGTATCCATCAAATTACTCCAGGCTATACTATGAGTGCACACATTTTACTTTTCAGCATATTGAGGCGTGATATAAATTGAAATACTCAATACCTTTGACCGGAGCCCTTATATTTGTTGATAGTGTAATGCACACACAATGCTTCTGCAGTACCTATCAGGGAATTTATTCGGTGTTTCTTAGACAAAGTGGCTCGGCGCTACACCAGGTGTTTCAATGTAGGTCACTGAATAATTGATAAGTCGCATCCACTGTGCACATTTCGGCAGAAGGCGCTGAACTTCCCAGACCTGACACATTCTGATCTCAGACACAAGGCGGCTGACTGCCACTGGCCGGCTGAAATGGGCCGGCTGAAATGGTGTCGCAGCAAATACAAACACGATCGCAGACCATCGCACACTTCCATTTCCCTGCTGTGAGCAGCGCAGGCCAACGGCGCGGGTTAATAACGCTGCCCCCGCAGCAGTGCTGGATGCTAGCGTTCAGAGTGAACGAAGGCTGCCACTCTCACGGAAGTTTTCTTAATGCTTCGCTAGGTCCACTCGTCCAAACAGTGTGAGATCATCAGGGGAGGGTGTTTGTTATTTCAGGCCTGTCTTGTACTCACTTGTTCTCAAATCAGTGTGACGTTGTCACAACATGACCCTCTGACCTCTCTCGAGTTTGTTTTTTTTCAAACAAGCGCCCGGGTTTTCCGTGAAACCGCGCTGGAATCGAGGTGCACGCCGGCTTTCCATGTGGGGACCGGCTCTGTCCTTCTTGTGTTACCACCACGCGCCATCACCTTGCCAAGCCAAATGTCACGGCGGAAACGAGTATTGCCGTAGATAGGCGTGTGCGGTTCTCCCACACATCTGGTAGTTACTGACAAACCATGTTTTGTGTATGTGTGTGTGAACGTTTTGGATTGCCTGTGTTGTCTGCTCTGCCCTCGTACCTCACGTCCAGATATGGTTGTCACCTATCCTGATTTTCCCAGGACATGCTATTTTTGAGGTGGCTTTCCTAAGAAATCTGTAAGTTTTCCAGAGACATTAAATCCCCGGAATGTGTCAATTGCATTATAGTACACTGCATTAATTAACAAAATTAATTAATATTTAATAGTTATTTTTAGATATTCTTCCATGATACAGAGGTGGTAACCCGACCTACTTATCCAAGATATCACAACGAGCTATGACTTTCGCCTTGCCCCGTGGTCTTTGTGTGTGTGTGTGTACGTGGTGGTGTAGCGGTCAGTGCACTGCACTACAAAACCGACTACCCGAGTTCGATTCCCACTCATGGCCAACACTAGTGACGATTATCTGAACCGATCCTGGGTCTGCCCTAGGTTGACTCGGCCTCAAATGAGTACCTGGTGCGGTGTGAAAAACATCGCCACTGGGGAGACAGAGGCGGTCGGGCGTGGTGCTGGCCACTTACCCCGGCCTTCATAAGTTCTCGCTTTCAGAACTTGCCCCGATGGTCTGTTAAGGCTATATGGGGGCAACTTTGTCTTTGTGTGTGTATGTAGATGTACGCGTGTGTGTGCGTGTGTGTGTCCAGGCGGTGGAAGCCCAGATCAGGAGCTTTGGGCAGACGCCGGCGCAGCTGATGGTGGAGCCGCACGCGCCCCGCAGCTCGGCCATGCACATGGTAAGCATTCTCAGGCACGGCGGGCCGATAAAATCGAGATGCTAGAAACCTCCCAGCTGATGCAATTCTTTCTATCGACTTTATCTAAGTCAGGAAATAACCCATTGTGGGTGGTGGTAATGTAGTGATTAATACGCGACACTTGGGTTTGACTCCAGGCCACAGCTTATGTCAGGAGCAAGTATTAATATCTGAACCAGTCATGGGCCCCTCCTCACCAGCATGGAGACCAGATGTCTATGTTAAAGGCAAACCTGGATATATGTTGACTAAATAAAACAGCAACTTCCCGGGTTCAAAACTATTAAAAATGCGGAAAGAAAATCTTAAAAGCATTCACATCCATACCGTGCGAGTAGTGGGTCCAACAGCATATTAAAAATGACATTCATGGTGGTATGTTTGTTATTAATGGTGTAGTTAAACTGTAACGCAGGCACACATCTAAGGAACATTACAGTACAGTACCTGAAAGAGCAATTCCCATATTTAGTGATTATTTCAGGAACTTAGAATCAGAATTAACACCTTTGGGTTATATGGGTGTGTTTTTGAGTCACCAGTCGTGGTAGTATTTTCGTAACCTATTTTCATTCGCCAGAGAAAGATATGTGCCCTCTGACCTGTTCGGCTTCCGCTGATTCACCAGCGCCAGGGTGAGCGTCCAGGGTGAGTGATGCAGGGTGAGCAATGCAGGGTGAGCGGCCACGGTGAGCAATGCAGCTCGTGAGTAGAGCACCGGGGGGAGGCCCACGTCGACCGAATCGGGATGTTTTGTCGGATGGTAGGACACGGCAAGGTGAAAGCCAGGTTGAATTTGGACTCTGGGATTTGAGAACCACAATGTACAGATTTGTGTCGTGTCAGACCGATAACTATTCTACTTATTGGGGTGGGGGGGCGGGAGTGGTGGTGCGTGCAGGAGGCAGTTTCCAAACTGTTTTTTTTTTAGGAATGTAATTTGAGAATGTGGCTTTTTTATTGTATTCCTCCAGCTGCGAATTACGAATTAGAATATCTGTTGTTTGTCACAGTCGGCCGATAGCCTTGGTTTCTGAGCGTGCACATATTTCTCCAAAAACGTAACAACTTATGGTGAACTGTGGTTTCCTGAGTTCCTCATCTGCCAATTCCGCCGCTAAGTTCGGCTCAGCCATCCTATATATATAAAAAAAAAAAACACCCAACTCAACAAATTGGTTGGACAGGGCAATAATATAAAATGCACAAAATAATGAAATGTGGGTCGGGGGAGGGGGGGGGGGATGGCAGGCTGGCTGGCGATAGAAGTGCGAAAGAAAAAAAATACTTCAGGGTGTTAAGAAATTTAACCTCGGTGGGGGAGGGTGGGGGGGGTGAGAAGGGTCCCTCGCGTCTCGAATCCAGGCCAAGCGGAAAGGGCGTTGGGGCGGCGGCAGCGGCGGTGCAGGGCCCCCTCCACCCCCCCCGCCCCCGGTTGGCGCTCGCGCGGAGGCGGCAGTATGAGGCGGCGGCGGCGGCGACGCGCGGCCGCGTGACAGCGGAGCGGAGTGACGGGGCGAGCCGCAGAGCAGCGCCCGTGGGGCCCCCTCCTGCCACTCAACCGCTCTCTCCCCTTCCTGTGTCCCGCCTCGAGGTCCCGGCGAGCGGCGAGCGCTGCGAGGCTAAACTATTCTCCTCTCCGGGGCTCCGAGGGGTGAGCTGGAGGCTAATGTGTATACAGACAGAGAGGGAGAGAGGGAGGGTTTGTGGTGCTCTCACGTGCACGCTTGTGGCTGTTTTGTACGGGATTTGCTTCGTGTGCCGTCGTCTGTTTTTTTCCCAGGTCTCCCTGCCAAAATCATACGGCATCTCGTTGGGCTGTCACCTGGTTAAGTGAAGAATAATCAATCAATGTCAGTTGATACATTTTTAAAATCGCGCTCGGGGAGGCGAGGTTCTTATTGTGCGAACACTGATTTAATGCTCACCGATTCCGAGAGACTTTGTATTTACACGACCGAGTGCAATTGCCGCGTTATTTCAAGAAACAAATAATGTCCGAGGCGCCGTCAGACATCATCTCTCCGCGCCTGCTTCTAGGTGTCACGACCCTGGCTCTAATTGGGCGGCGAGCACCGCTCACCTGTTGCGGCACCGCGACGAGTGCGACGGCGCTCCCGTACGCGGCGTGGTGCCTCGTTAGCGGCCGCGAGCGCTGGGTAGCATGAAAATAAATAAATCGCAACCCTCCATTTGCAATCCGCGACGTGTCGCCTTGTAAAATACAGAATTAATTGGAAATGTGAGTTTACTCCAGTCGAGAAGTGTCAGCTCTCGGTGTAACCCTCGGAAGAGTGTTAAAAATGAAACCCCGGCGGCGTTCAATTTCTGCCGGGTTTGGTTTCCTTCGCAGACGCCGATGATGTTCAGCAACAAGAGCCAGCAGGAGGTGATCATGGTCCTCAAGTTCCCGTCCAACTCCCCTGTGACGCACGTGGCAGCCAACACGGGCCCGATGCAGAGCCCCCCGGCCATCCTCACTATCACGTGCAGCCGCCTTTTCGCGATCAACAAGTGGAACGGCCTCTGTGGTGAGCGCCCGGCCGGCAGGGTGCTCGTGTTATTTGTGTTATCTGTAGCTTATGTATACAGGCTGTACATTACCAATTCATTATCAATCATTATTAATCATCATGATCTTCCTATATGCTTCAAAGCCAGGTGCCATTTTTGCATGGGGCTGGCTGCGCCATTTATTCTTATTCTGTGCCTATCCCCTCATCACATAGACTTTCCCCATATCTCATTACACCACATTCCTACATCTCACCCTCAATCTCCCTCTACTCCTTGGGCCCTGCAAAACCATCTCCAAGATTACGATGACGATGGTGTTGATCATTATTTGTCATCAAGGTTATCGTTATCATTCATGTCCCCTCCCCCTCCCGCCAGCCTTTTCCAGGGTGAGAAAATAACTTCCGCTTCGTAGTAAGTCAGTAGTGGTTATCCTGTAATAATAATAATAATACGCACCATTTGTCGCCAACCGTGCTAATCCAAAGTTCATGCGACATGTCTGTCGCGTGTAAATACTAAAAGCATCTCAAGACGCTCCACCACCTTCTCCCAGTTGAAGCTTGTGCTGCCCAACCACTGTGTGGGCAAGGGAAACACTTTTGAAGTTGATAACCAGTGTGGGCTCGTCAAGATGGCAAGGGTCTGCAGCCGCGTGTGAGTGCTTGGGGCGTTACCGAGAGACAGTTAGGTGCAGCAAGCAAGCCTGCGACCATGTTGGGTGTAATTCTCACGGCCTTCCCCTCGCCGCCACAGGTTCGCTGGAGAGATCCAGTGCGTCCATGGAAGACATAATGCGGCTGCCCGTCGAGATTGATCCCTTGTTGGGTAAGCATTCACGCACAGCTTATTATGTACCGAACGTTTTACATTCACGCACTGTGTATTACGCGCGTGGATGCCTGCTGTCTATATATTTATTGTGTAACATTTTTTTTTAATTAAAATGACGTAATCCGCTATATTCTTGGTTCTTTTGCTAAAGTCACGTAGAAGGGAAACAATAAAATAATAAAAACATAAAACAATAAAATTCTCACGACGTTTCGACTGCAACACAAGCAATCATCATCAGGTGTGAAAACCACAGCAAGAACATTTTTAAAAACCGCAACTTTTAAAACATTTTCTTGCTGTGGTTTTCACACCTGATGATGATTGCTTGTGTTGCAGTCGAAACGTCATGAGAATTTTATTGTTTTATATTTGTATTATTTTATTGTTTCCCTTCTACGTGACTTTACCGAAAGAACCAAGAATATGAATCCCTGCAGTCACGAAAGCTTTAAATCAAGACGTAATCCACTGTTTGGTGAAGGCCCTTTCCCATTCTTTGTCAAGCATGGGGGTTGTTTGACCATACTTCACCACCGCTGCGCAGTGCTCACCACTGATGTTAGCTGTGGCGGCCAGGAATTAAACGTAGGTTCGCTAGGTTCATGGTGTATCGCGACATCCACTGCTTTAAATGTTAAAATAGCCAGAGAGGAAACACTTTTACGATTTTTCGAGCACGACGATTCTCCTAACCCGATGACTCTCTCCTACCTGGATGATTCTATTAGCCCAGGTGTCGGCAACCTGCGGCTTCGGAGCCGCATGCGGTGGGTCTTTAAAGACTGCTTCGTGATGTCATTCACATCGCATTGAGGCTCTTGAAATATTGAATATTTTACCGAATTCGAAAAAAAAGGCTCTTATTGTTATTTGATTTGCCGACTCCTGCACTAGCCTTACGACTCTCCAGCCGGATGATTCTCCTAGCTCGATGACTCTTATCATCCCGACGAATCTTCTGGTCGGACGATAATCTCCTAGCTGTAGCCGTGCGTCGATTTAAAGAGGGCCACGCTCTGCGCTCGTCCCGCAGTGGCGAACATGGGCCTGCACCGGCGGCAGATCATGGACCCCGTGGACCACAGCGTGCCCACGTGCGTCAACACCTTCACCGTGACGGCCGACAATCGCTTCGTCATGCTCGGCGGGTTCTGGGACAAGAGCTTCCGCGTCTATTCCACGGACACCGGTAACGCTCGTTGAGAGACGCGCGTTGGAAAGGCCAGATTGTTTGTCCATCTATCAGCCTCTCTGTCTGTGTGTACGTACAGGTCCAGCGGTGTCTGTTCCTTATTTGTCTGCTAGGAATAGCTCGTTAACAGCACTTGCCCCAACAGTCTCTTAAGGCTATACGGGGGATCTTTGTCTTGCTAAGTATAGCTTTTGTCTTTCCAGTGCCGATATTTTTACACACTCAGGCCAGGTACTCTTTTATGGCTGAGTCTACTTATAGGGCCGGTTCAAATATCGCTCGTCACTGATGTTAGCCGTGGTTGGGAATCAAATCCAAGTCACTGGTACAGCTACAGCCTAAAAGCGGTCGGGCATGGTGCTGGCCACCCCACCTTCATCGTGCATTGTGCCAGACTTCATACGTGTTGCTCACCGACAGCATCTGCCCCAACAGTCTGTGTGAGTTATTTAAGGTTTGTCATGATGCATCAGTTAATCGATAAAAAATTAATCCTTATGCTCATGGTACACCCATCAGATCTTGCGTGTGAGAAATAAGTGTTTGTGGTTTCTGAAAAAAATATGCATACGATACGCCAAAGTTACATTTAGGCTGACGGAGTTAATAAAACTATACAAATGAGAGTTAAACCATGAGAAACAATGTCAACGAGATGGTAAAAATGAGAACACTTATTTATGACCCCAAATCGTGACGATATATGGAAGTGCTGGAAGACCAATTTTTGCATGTGCAATGTCTGTCCACGTCTAAATATAGCTGCCTGTGGCCATGTAAGTCTGCCAGTCGTGTGGTTGTCTATGTAGAGGTTAATTTATGCATGTCTTTTTATGCGTACGTGTCAGTTTGCACGTAACATAGTACACATGTACACGTCTTTATTTGTTAGTGTATATATCTTGTCTGTCTCTCTCTCTATATATTCAGGATGTTGGTCTGCCTACGTATGTGTGGCTGAGAAAAGTGTTTGCGAACAGCAATTGCCCCAACAGTCTGCACGGCTGTACGATGTACATCTGTCTTCGTATGGCTATCTACATCTGCTGTATGTCTTGTTCCGGCTGGGTAAACCCCCTCTGTACGAGTATCCATTCACACACGTACACCAATCTGTAAGTACCTCTGCCCCTGTCTATCTTGAAGAGGTATTCATCATTCCCTACATCCCTTCATCTCTCTTAATCCGTTGAGTCTGTGTACAATGTGTAATTGTGTAATGTACCTAATCGCTGCGATCAATGCACGTTATGCAATCCACCGAGCGATTCCGAGCACTCTCACCCTCGTGTCTCGCCAAGATCGTTTATCTCGAGCATCCGTGTAATTCAAATCCGCCGTGTCCTTCTCACACAGTTCGTACTAATCTGCATATCATCTGTCTGTCGCCCAACCAATGCACGGACTGTGGATTTGATGAAGAGCAGCATTTATGTTGACCTGATGATATTGGCTTCAGACCGCAACTGTTTCTCTGCCAAAAGGGAAGGTCATTATCCAGTCATGCTATAATAATAATAATATTCAGCTGTTTGTGTGGTGGAGTGAAGTGTGAGTACTCGCACTTCTGCCAAGACGTCTGGCTTGCATGGAAGAGGTCAAATGCCCTCTAGAAGTGTTCTCTAGATCTACTTGGAGCCTCCTCCAGCAGTGGCATTGACAAGAAATTGCACGGCTGCACCTTTTGACTTTCATACATGCAAACTGATATGCTGAATTTAAGCTAAGACAGCTTTTTGATGCTGGTGTATCGGCTGGCGTGGTTGTTTTCGGGCAGGCCCGTCACCAACCAATCAGGATCAGAATGTTTATTCACCCTGGAGAAATCCAATGAGCTATGAAGCTCTTTTTCCACAGGTGTCTCATAACATGCCGTATCCCGCGACCCCCCCCCCCCATTCCCGCAGGCCGGCTGAAGCAGGCCATGTTCGGCCACTGGGACGTGGTGACGTGCCTGGCGCGCTCCGAGGTGGGCGTGGGGGGCGACTGCTACGTGGCATCCGGCTCGAGGGACGCAACGGTGCTGCTGTGGCGCTGGAGCGGCCGGGAGCTCGCACTGGGGGACCGCACCATGCACGGTGAGAGCCTTGAACGACCTGGCCGATCCCCGCGGCCGTGCCACTCTCAGAGCCTCTGCATGCGCTGGGCCAAGACTACGGAATACCCTCGCACCAGTGGTTAGACGGGTGAAGTCACTCGCCCGTGTTTAGTGCTTCTCTACAGACTCACCTGTTTCGCCTGGCCTACACTTCCCAAATATGACCAGTCGACTGAGGAACTTGGCGTATTTATATTTGCTAACTCTGTGCATGGCGCACCGAGATCGCTGCATGGATTGCATGTATATTATTTTGTTTAAAGCTGTCTCTCTGAGCCTTGGACACCCTCGGTGACCCTCAAAAAGCCTCCGGGTGTCTTTGAATGGCTCTGTGAGCTTCTGACATTAATACAGGACCCAAATAATCATAAGCGAGCCTTAGGCTGGCTCTGTGAGCCTCTGGCGCCAACCAAGAGAGCCGCGTTGCATCGTACGAATTCTTTTCAAGAGAGCCCTATTTGGGATCGTTGGCCAATTCCCCGTGAACTGCATTTGAGTGTGGAAAGAAATTGGAGTGATTGACAAAACCCACATTTCCAAGAGGATCCCAGACTTAGTGCACGGAGAATGTGCCGGCAACCTACTTGCAGTACCGCTTTATTACAGGCACGTCACTGCCCTGACAAATCGGTGCCTCGTATGCCCGGGATGTCGTCCTGATCTCTCCACATCGCCAGGGCCCTCCCCACACCACTGCGCCGTCTCTGCAGGCACAGAAGGGAGACGCGCTGACTAGCATTGCTGTGCCACTTAAGCATCGGGCCGCTTTAATCTCTCGTCAGAATTCCACTCCTCCTAATCTGCTCGTGTGATTTTTACGAACGATCGTTCGCTCACGAGGCCTTGGTCTCGTTAGGGATGGATCTGTTTCATCTGACTGAGGAATATTTTTTTTGAAACACGCAATAATAATAATAACACACGCGCGGGCAACCGGTTCCATGGATAGAGGTGATGCAACGCTCGCGTAATAATCACCTGATCTTCGTCAGGCATTCACCAATCACCTGATACTCGCCTGTTACCATTCACCAACTCTCCTGATCCTCATCATTCACCAGTTTGTGTAGTACTGTATAGCGGAAACTGCCTCCCCAACGGTGTACACCTGTCCATTGTATGTTTTTTTATGCAGTGAGTCTGACTGTAAATGGTAGAGCAGATAAGCAGCACCGGGGCCAATAATACACATAATTGTTGGGTAAAAAGATATTTTTTATTGTCATTGTAATCATATTGACATAAGATACGCTATATTCTTGGTTCTTTCGGTAAAGTCACGTAGAAGGGAAACAATAAAATAATAAAAATATAAAACAATAAAATTATCATGACGTTTCGACTGCAACACAAGCAATCATCATCAGGTGTGAAAACCACAGCAAGAAATTTTGAAAAAAGTGGCAGTTATTTTTAACGTTAAAAAAACAATTTGAAAAAAGTGCTGGTTATTTTAATTTTCTTGCTGTGGTTTTCACACCTGATGATGATTGCTTGTGTTGCAGTCGAAACGTCGTGATAATTTTATAGTTTTATATTTTTATTATTTTATTGTTTCCCTTCTACGTGACTTTACCGAAAGAGCCAATAATATGAATCCCTGCAGTCACGAAAGCTTTAAATAAAAATGTAAGATACACTTTTAAATGTAATCGGTAGAGCAGTCTAGGAGGACCTGTCTGGACAAACGTACATAGAGATTAGCTGCTGATATATCAGATTAAGCAATGTGCCTCCTCTGCATATCTGTCCCTTCACGTACAATTTTTAAAGTATTTTTCACAAAATCCATCAGGTACATGGCCTTCCATGAAAATTCGTAATTTCATGAGCATTGGTTCAACACAAGAACATCTCTAGACCATTTCAACGTTAAACGTCTCATCAGAAGGCAGGTTTCCTTAAACTGCCAGATGTTTAAAGGCAATGACTCTTTTTTAAATATGGGTACTCGATTTATGCTAAATCATATGATGCATCATGACGCCAAATATCATTTTGCGTTACGTATTAAACGTTTGCCTCTTATGTATATTGGTTTTAGACTTTGCAAAGTATATCACAGATAGACTGTGGATTGTTTTTTTTTCACCTGGTGAAATAAAATGTCACAGGTAAGAAAATCGGAGAGAAGCAGCACTTATACAGTGAGGGGAAAAAGTATTTGATCCCCTGCTGATTTTGTACATTTGCCCACTGACGAAGAAATGATCAGTCTATAATTTTAATGGTAGGTTTATTTGAACAGTGAGAGACAGAATAACAACAACAAAAATCCGGAAAAACGCATGTCAAAAATGTTATACATTTATTTGCATTTTAATGAGGGAAATAAGTATTTGACCCCCTCTCAATCAGAAAGATTTCTGGCTCCCAAGTGTCTTTTATACAGGTAACAAGCTGAGATTAGGAGCACTCCCTTTGAGAGTGTGCTCCTAATCTCAGCTCGTTACCTGTATAAAAGACACCTGTCCACAGAAGCAATCAATCAATCAGATTCCAAACTCTCCACCGTGGCCAAGACCAAAAAGCTCTCCAAGGATGTCAGGGACAAGATTGTAGACCTACACAAGGCTGGAATGGGCTACAAGACCATTGCCAAGCAGCTTGGTGAGAAGGTGACAACAGTTGGTGCGATTATTCGCAAATGGAAGAAACACAAAAGAATTGTCAATCTCCCTCGGCCTGGGGCTCCATGCAAGATCTCACCTCGTGGAGTTGCAATGATCATGAGAACGGTGAGGAATCGGCCCAGAACTACACGGGAGGATCTTGTCAATGCTCTAAAGGAGGCTGGGACCATAGTCACCAAGAAAACAATTGGTAACACACTACGCGGTGAAGGACTGAAATCCTGCAGCGCCCGCAAGGTCCCCCTGCTCAAGAAAGCACATATTCATGCCCGTCTGCAGTTTGCCAATGAACATCTGAATGATTCAGAGGACAACTGGGTGAAAGTGTTGTGGTCAGATGAGACCAAAATAGAGCTCTTTGGCATCAACTCAACTCGCCGTGTTTGGAGGAGGAGGAATGCTGCCTATGACCCCAAGAACACCATCCCCACCGTCAAACATGGAGGTGGAAACATTATGCTTTTGGGGTGTTTTTCTGCTAAGGGGACAGGAAAACTTCACCGCATCAAAGGGACGATGGACGGGGCCATGTACCGTCAAATCTTGGGTGGGAACCTCCTTCCCTCAGCCAGGGCATTGAAAATGGGTCGTGGATGGGTATTCCAGCATGGCAATGACCCAAAACACACAGCCAAGGCAACAAAGGAGTGGCTCAAGAAGAAGCACATTAATGTCCTGGAGTGGCCTAGCCAGTCTCCAGACCTTAATCCCATAGAAAATCTGTGGAGGGAGCTGAAGGTTCGAGTTGCCATACGTCAGCCTCGAAACCTTAATGACTTGGAGAAGATCTGCAAAGAGGAGTGGGACAAAATCCCTCCTGAGATGTGTGCAAACCTGGTGGCCCACAACAAGAAACGTCTGACCTCTGTGATTGCCAACAAGGGTTTTGCCACCAAGTACTAAGTCATGTTTTGCAGAGGGGTCAAATACTTATTTCCCTCATTAAAATGCAAATCAATTTATAACATTTTTGACATGCGTTTTTCTAGATTTTCCTGTTGTTATTCTGTCTCTCACTGTTCAAATAGACTTACCATTAAAATTATAGACTGATCATTTCTTTGTCAGTGGGCAAACGTACAAAATCAGCAGGGGATCAAATACTTTTTTTCCCTCACTGTACCTGTGGGATTGTATTTCTCTGTGCGGTCTCAATTGCTGTTAGTAATATGGAGTCCCCACATCAATTAGCTTTGCATGCCATCTTCAAACGCGCTCTCAAATAAATAATTTACAAAAGTAACTTTTCTTAAACCAACAAAATTAGGCTGCTGTCAAAAACCTTCCTAACTTTTTTTAAAGTGTATTTTTGAGTCCTTAATAATTGAGCTGCTGCTGCTGCTAATTATGCACAGTTGCTGCTGCCAGGCTGCCACAGTTTTTCAGCTCGGGCAGTCAATGTCTCTGTTATCCAGCACCATGCAGACATGCCTCAGTTTTGTGGATTTATTTTGCAGTTTTTGCAGTTTTACCTATGCTCTCATGGGATTTACAAGACACGTTAACTTAAGGCTTCTAGGATAATATTTCGACTCTACAATGTAATCCTAGGATATTACAAATCGCCAGAGTGGGTAATATTGTTTCTCCATATTCAGCCATTCTCACCTGCTGTGGCTTACTGTGCAGCACCGTCATGCAATGGGGCCTCCAACTCCACCCTATGTTCATTGACCAGACATACACAAATACAAAGATCCCCCATATAGCCTTTCAGACTGGTGGGACAAGTGCTGTTAGCGGGCACCTATGAAAGGCCGGCACACCCGCCCACCCGACTTTGTCTTCCCAGTGGCGATGTCTCCCCAGTGGCGATGTTTACACATTGTAGCAGGTACTCATTTTAGGCTAAATCGACCTAGAGGAGGCCCAGGACCGATTCAGATATTCGTCACTGCTGTTGGTGGCCATGAGCGGGCGTCATACTCGGGTCGCCAGGTTTGTAGCGCAGCGCACTTAATGCTGCGCCACCCCTCCCCACACACGGAAGACACAGACACACGTGCAGGACAAGGCATCGATAAAGTCTCTCATGTTTCCGTCGAAACAATTTTCAACTGGAGCGTAAGTGGTGCGTCTGTTCTTTTATTGTTTCGCTGTTTTTGTTTCCCCCCATTGATTTCAGTTGAAAGCGTTTTAGCCAGCGGACTATATAAAGGAGCGAGCGAAGAATCTTGGTCGTCTCGTCGATCTTGCAAGCTCCAAACTTCCCCACTCGCTCGACTCGCCACGTGAATGCAGTGGCCGTACCGTAGCTTTTCTTCGCCTCTCCTACGAGTGCCCTGGCCCCATTCCGTTTCCTGTTTGTACGGAGAGGCCTTTGTGACCGTCAGGCACTCCGATAATT